TTACCCATTCAAGCCGTCTCCAGCCATTATTAGTCTCAAAGTGGGTTCCTCGTTATCGAATATTGAATAATGCTAAGTAGTAGACCTTCATTTGTTACATTTTATACGTAACAAAACAAAATATATTTAATACTATATTTATGTTTTAATAACTTTCCAAAACGTCAGTAGAATTTGTCTTTATTTGCTTTACCGTGTTCAGATCCGAGTGTTGTTTGGCACAACCTTTTTATTCACATAAGATAGGCTAAAAGATTTCGTTCAAAAAAGGAGATATCACAATATATCACGCAGTACTTTCAGTATCTTGTCTTGGAGATGGTTGTAAACATTTAATATACGTATTCAAACGGTATCTGTTTTTGAATTACATTAATCAATAGAGTGTGTTGTCTGTACAAGTGTCCTGTTGGCTGGCTTAGTGTTGGATTATCAACTCAGTTTCTTATAAACAAAAGTTTGAGTAGAGCTACCTGATAGTGAAAACGTTAACAATTTTCTCTGAAGTTTGAGTAGAGCTCCCTGATAATGAAAACGTTAACAACTTTCATCTCAAGTTTGAGTAGAGCTACTTGATGGTGAAAACGTTAACAACTTTCATATGAAGTTCCGAGTAGAGCTACCTGATGGTGAAAACGTTAACAACTTTCATTTGAAGTTTGAGTAGAGCTACCTGATAATGAAAACGTTAATAGCTTTCATCTGAAGTTCCGAGTAGAGCTACCTGATAACGAAAACATTAACAGCTTTCATCTGAAGTTCCGAGTAGAGCTACCTGATAACGAAAACATTAACAACTTTCATCTGAAGTTTCAGTAGAGCTACCTGATAATGAAAACGTTAATAGCTTTCATCTGAAGTTCCGAGTAGAGCTATCTGATAACGAAAACATTAACAGCTTTCATTTGAAGATTAAGTAGAGCTACCTGATAATGAAAACGTTAACAACTTTCATCTGAAGTTCCGAGTAGAGCTACCTGATAACGAAAACATTAACAGCTTTCATTTGAAGTTTAAGTAGAGCTACCTGATAATGAAAACATTAACAACTTTCATCTGAAGTTTGAGTAGAGCTACTTGATAATGAAAACGTTAATAGCTTTCATCTGAAGTTCCGAGTAGAGCTACCCGATAACGAAAACATTAACAGCTTTCATCTGAAGTTTGAGTAGAGCTACCTGATAATGAAAACGTTAACAACTTTCATTTGAAGTTTAAGTAGAGCTACCTGATAATGAAAACGTTAACAACTTTCTCTGATTAATTTCAATCGATATAATCTTTTTTATATATTTTACTGAGACAGCTTCAGTTTCAATATCTTTAATTGAATTCCCCAACTGAGCGAAAGTTTAAATGTGTTTAAATAAATAGTTTAGGCTGATGTCTGTCGTCGCCATCTTGTGAAACTTCCTAAATCTAATCAGCTTGAATGAGTACTTTGGTAAAAGGGGGCATCTGAAAAGTTTCAAACTGTTTCATAAAATAATACTTCACACTTGTATCTTTATAAGGTTTTAAAAAGCTCTAGTCATAAGATTAGACCAAAATATTAATCTCACATATGCAAAAAACAAGAAGAAATAAACTTCAAATATAAAGTATAATATCTTTCTTTGAAATTAATTAAATAGCTACTATATAAACAGATATTTCTTAAAACTGGAAGGAAACATTTTATTTGAAACTAACTAAATAGCTATTATCTATACATATAAAAAACAGATGTTTGTTGAAACTGGAAGGAAACATTTTATTTGAAACTAACTAAATAGCTATTATCTATACATATAAAAAACAGATGTTTGTTGAAACTGGAAGGAAACATTTTATTTGAAACTAACTAAATAGCTATTATCTATACATATAAAAAACAGATGTTTGTTGAAACTGGAAGGAAATGTTTTTTTTAAAACTAACAAACATCTGGAAACATAGAACATCCACTAAATAAGACTATTTTGTAATTCCTTCACAGGATCTTCACACTATTACGCTTGATGAATTTCAGCACGGAACTACCAATATATCCGGATTTCGGTTGGTGGATCCTTCTCGGCGCAGTGTTAAGATGATGGTCAACGATAGAATTTTTGACAAGCTTCGATATGGTCATCAGCCAGAGTCTGGACGTTTGTTAAAGGTATTAAAACTTGCACCATGTTACTTATGTATCACAGTTTAAAGACATTTTTAATAATTTGAATTTCTTCTATTTTTTTCTTATTATAGAACTGTGTGGTTTAGCATTCTTTTACTAAATTTACCTAGAATTAACCAATATTTTTCTTTACCAAGTAAACCCACCTAGACCTCAAAATTATTATTCTTTACTAAGTAAACACACCTACACCTTACAATTTGTATTCTCTACCAAGTAAACACACTTAGACCTCAGAAATAGTGTTTTTACTAAGTAAACACACCTACACCTTACAATTTGTTCTTTACCAAGTAAACCCACCTAGACCTTACAATTTGTATTCTCTACCAAATAAATACACCTAGATCTTACAATTTGTATTCTTTACCAAGTAAACACACCTAGACCTCACAAATAGTGTTTTTACCAAGTAAACACACCTACACCTTACAATTTGTGTTCTTTACCAAGTAAACACACACCTAGACCTTACAATTTGTGTTCTTTACCAAACAAACATACTTAGACCTCACAAATAGTGTTTTTACTAAGTAAACACACCTACACCTTACAATTTGTGTTCTTTACTAAGTAAACACACCTACACCTTACAATTTGTGTTCTTTACAAAGTAAACCCACCTAGACATTACAATTTGTGTTATTTACCAAGTAAACACACCTAGACCTTTTAATTTGTGTTCTTTACAAAACATACACACATTGACCTTACAATTTGGGTTCTTTACCAAACAAACACACCTGTATCTTACAATTTATATTATTTACCAAGTAAACACACCTAGACCTTACAGTTTATATTCTTTACCAAGTAACCACACCTATATCTTACAATTTGTATTATTTACCAAGTAAACACATCTAGACCTTACAATTTGTTTTCTTTACCAAGTAAACACACTTAGACCTTACAATTTGTATTATTTACCAAGTAAACACACCTCTTGGCCTAACCGTTGCTATTTTTTAAAATCATCACTATTAAAATTCTCTTTACACTTTATTACTACTTAAAACCTCTTCACACTTTAGCAGTACCAAAATCCCATCCTCACACTTTTTCAGTAATCAAAATTCCATCCTCACATTTTATCAGTACTCAATATCCAATCCTCACACTTTATCAGTACTCAAAATCTCACCATCACGCTTTTTCAGCGATAATACTGTTCTCAATATTTTGGCTGTGCTAAAAAATCCCTTTATAATTTAATTGTTAATGAGCCTCCATATTTTAACAATACTAAAAATTACTTAAGATTTTTCAGTTCTAAAATTTCTTAACATTTTATCTACATTAAAATGTTCTTAAATTTTATCTGTACTTAAAAACCATATAAAATTGATCAATACCAAAAGTTCTTTTACAAAACAATAATATTTAAAATGCCTTCAAACTTTAACAGAACTAAAAGTTCCTTTACGCAACAATAATATTTAAAATTCCTTCAAACTTTAAGAGTACTGAAAGTTCCTTTACACAACAATAAAATTTAAAATTCCTTCAGACTTTAACAGTACTAAAAGTTCCTTTACACAACAATAATATTTGAAATTCCTTCATACTTTAACAGTACTGAAAGTTCATTTACACAACAATAATATTTAAAATTCCTTCAGACTTTAACAGAACTAAAAGTTCCGTCACACAACAATACTGTTACGACAGCGGAAGTCGCGTGACACTGGTAACACGTAATGAGTATCTAGAAGGTTCCTAAAGGCTCGATTGTTTGCCAGACGCCCTCTATTTTGTATATATAAGACCGGCAAGAAGTGACGGTATAGATAATTGCAGACAGACAGAGATAGAGACCAACAATTTAGTCAAGCGCGGTAATGACCGTAAGTAAAGTGCACTTATCGTTGTGAATTATAGCGTGTGTTTAAGTTAAAGTGTCTGTGGAAATTAATTGTATTGCAAAGTTGTTTTAAGAAAGAATAAACTAATTTTATTTAAGAAAGGACTTGTATCACTAAAGTTTCATCCGAAAGAAATTATACGGAAATTAACAAACGAACACAGAGACGTAACAGTACTATTTAAAATTTCCTTCATACTTTAACAGAACCAAAAGTTCCGTTACACTGCAATAATATTTAAAATTCCTTCAAATTTTAACAGTACTGACAGTTCCTTTACACAACATTTATATTTAATTTTTTTGTTGTGTTTCAAAATGTGTAGTGTATACTGGAGAGATTTGCTTATTTTGATAAAAAGTTAAGAAAAATGGCATTTATACTCAAGATATATATATATATATAATTTTTATTTTATTTTAACCAATTTTTCACCTTTTGGGCTTCCTCAGACTTAATATACACAACCGTTTGATATTAGAATAGTTGTTAAATTATAAAACTGCTTGTAATGTTCTATTTCTTGAGTCTGTCGTAACGTATTGTAGTATAGTTAGACAATAGGTAACATGTAACTAAAACAACACATCATGCCAGTACACTGGACACTATTACTTTCAGTTTAACACTTACATTGTGGAGTATCACACAGTTTTTTTTTAACACTGCTAGTAAACTTTGTATCCTTTCCACGCATTATTGCTTATTACTCTATGTAGTTTTTAGCTAATCATAAAATATATTGTAGTTTTCTTTATTTATATATATCTCATGAAATAATTATATGTGTCATATATGTATGACTGCATAGTTAGTATTACAACTATACTATAATATTAGTACAATAATGAAACAATTACAATAATTTATACATTGGTAGATGCACAATACAGAAGACTACAGAAAAGAGGTTTTATAATTTAATGAATATTCTAATATCAAACAGTTGTGTGTATTAACCCTAAGGAAGCTGCAAAAACCAAACATTGGTTACAAGAATTATATATATTGTTACGTCTGTTTTCGTTTGTTAATTTTTCGTAGAAATTCTTTCCGAGAAACTTCAGCAATACAAGTCTTTTCTTAAATAAAACTAGTTTATTCTTTCTCGATTCAACTTTGCAATACACTAAATTTCCACAGTCACTTTAACTTCAACACACGCTATAATTCACAACGATTCACGTACTTTACTTACGGCTTGACTCGATTAATCTGTCTCTATCTCCCTATCTGCTATTCAATTATCCATCCCGTCACTTCTTTTGCCGGCTTATATATACAAAAATAGAGGGCGCATAGAGAAGACTAGAGTTGCCACGAACAGACATGATATTTCTAGAATCTCATGACGTGTTACTAGCGTCACGTGACTTCCGCTGTCGTAACAATATATATATATATAAATTAAAAACTATTTGGTTCTTGTAAGAGTGATAGTCATTTTAAATAATATTAGGTTTCACTGTTTTTCGCATTCTTAAAGCACGTTTTCCATTGTGTAATATTTTAACCTTAAGCCTGGTTTTGTCACTTAATATATACTAAAATCACTTACCATTTCGTCGTTATTATTGTGAGTGGTATATAGGCGAACAACTCAATAATGAGGAGTATATACGTATTGGCAGAATACAGATAATACATGTAGTTAATGGAACGACAATATCAAAGTAAGAAGACCTTTAAGCTATCAATCGTGGTATGATTACAGACAGACACCGCTCTCATCTACGATGCTGTCACGTTGTTTTCTCGAGCACTACATGACTTGGATTTATCTCACGCTATCAACATCCAGAATCTCTCGTGTGAAAACAGAGAATACTGGAGTCAAGGAAACTCTATAATCAGCTACATGAAAGTCGTAAGTATTTAACCTTCTTTTCATTCTAAAGAAAATATTATTCAAAGCGAATAACCATTTACTAAATCTGTTAGGTAGAAAACAGTGACTTCTCTCAAGCCCATGATAAAGTTTTTTAAAGAACATAGACAACTAAGAACTGAACAGCACATGATAAAGTTTCTAAAGAGCAAAGACAACTAAGAATTGAACAGCACATGATAAAGTTTTAAAGAACCTAGACAACTAAGAACTAAACTGCACATGATAAAATCTTTCAATTAACATAGACAACTATGAACTGAACAGCACATGATAAAGTTTTGAAAGAACATAGACAACTAAGAACTAAACAGCACATGATAAAGTTTTTAAAGATCATAGACAACTAATAACTGAACAGCACATGATAAAGTTTTGAAAGAACATAAACAACTAAGAACTGAACAGCACGTGATAAAGTTTATTAAAGAACATAGACAACTAAGAACTGAACAGAACATGATAAAATCAATTAAATAACATAGACAACTAGGAACTAAACAGCACATGATAAAATTTTGAAAGAACATAGACAACTAAGAGCTAAAAAGCACATGATAAAGTTTGTTAAAACATAGACAACTAAGAACTAAACAGAACATGATAAATTTTATTAAAGAACATAGATAACTAAGAACTAAATAGCACATGATAAAGTTTTTAAAGAAAATAGACAACTAAGAACTAAACAGCACATGATTAAGTTTAGTCAAGAATATAGACATCTAAGAACTCAACAGCACATAATAAAGTTTTTAAAGAAAACAGACAATTAAGAACTAAACAGAACATGATAAAGTTTTTAAAGAAAATAGGAAACTGAGAACTAAAAAGCACATGATAAAGTTTATCATAGAACATAGACAACTATGAACTGAACAGCACATGATAAAGTTTATTAAAGAACATAAACAACTACGACCTGAACAGCTCATGATAAAATTTTTAAAGAACATAGACAAATAAGAACTAAAGAGCACATGATAAAATTTTTTAAAGAACATAGACAACTAAGAATTAAACAGCACATAATAAAGTTTTTTAAAGAACATAGACAACTAAGAACTAAAACGCACATGATAAAGTTTATCATAGAACATAGACAACTAAGAACTAAACAGCACATGATAAAGTTTTCAAAGAACATAGACAACTAAGAGCTAAAAAGCACATGATAAATTTGTTAAAACATAGACAACTAAGAACTAAACAGCACATGATAAATTTTATTAAAGAACATAGATAACTAAGAAATAAATAGCACATGATAAAGTTTTTTAAGAAAATAGACAACTAAGAACTGAACAGCACATGATAAAGTTTTTAAAGAACATAGACAACTAAGAACTAAACAACACATGATAAAAGGTATTAAAGAACATAGACAACTATGAACTGAACAGCACATGATAAAGTTTTTAAAAAAAATAGACAACTAAGAACTGAACAGCACATGATAAATTTTTAAAAGAACATAAGCAACTAAGATCTAAAGAGCACATGATAAAGTTTTTTAAAGAACATAGACAACTAAGAACTGAACAGAACATGATAAAGTTTTAAGGAACATACACAACTAAGAACTAAAGAGCACATGATAAAGGTTTTTAAAGAACATAGACAACTAGGAACTAAACAACACATGATAAAATGTATTAAAGACCATAGACAATTAAGAACTGAACAGCACATGACAAAGTTTATTAAAGAACATAAACAACTACGACCTGAACAGCTCATGATAAAGTTTTTAAAGAACATAGACAACTAAGAACTGAACAGAACATGATAAAATCAATTAAATAACATAGACAACTAGGAACTAAACAGCACATGATAAAATTTTGAAAGAACATAGACAACTAAGGGCTAAAAAGCACATGATAAAGTTTGTTAAAACATAGACAACTAAGAACTAAACAGAACATGATAAATTTTATTAAAGAACATAGATAACTAAGAACTAAATAGCACATGATAAAGTTTTTAAAGAAAATAGACAACTAAGAACTGAACAGCACATGATAAAGTTTTTAAAGAACATAGACAACTAAGAACTAAACAACACATGATAAAAGGTATTAAAGAACATAGACAACTAAGAACTAAAAGGCACATGATAAAGTTTATTAAAGAACATAGACAACTAAGAACTAAACAGCACATGATAAAGTTTTTAAAGAACATAGACAACTAAGAACTAAAGAGCACATGATAAAGTTTTAAAAGAAAATAGACAACTAAGAACTGAACAGCACATGATAAAGTTTTTAAAGAACATAGACAACTAAGAACTAAAGTGCACATGATAAAGTTTTTTAAAGAACATAGACAACTAAGAACTAAAGAGCACATGATAAAGTTTTAAAAGAA